ACTAAATCTTATACGCGTACATTTTTCACGAGAACAAAAGAGACAAGCGTGTGTCTAATGCGCATGCTCAATTTAGTTAAACGTTATTAGAATAATACTAATAATTATATTTTTCTGTCATTATGCAGTTCCTCATTATATTTATATATGCTTTTTTGTCAAAATTGTTCGATTGGGTTTTCTCTAAAAATTTGCCTCCAATACACTAAGATGAATATAAAAATTGAGATATATAGATACTCAAAAGCGTATAGATGAGAATTTTGTTTGAACTGTCTGACTGAGAGAAAGGTTATGTTAGTCTTTCGCCTTGTTAGTACTGCCATGCGCATGATAATGTAAAATCCATATGGCTGAAACCACCCAACGCTATAATAGTATAATACCCAGCAATACAATAAAATAGAGTTAGCCGGAATTATATTAGCCAGTAATTATAAAAAATTACTTTTACTTCTAGCGCGCGCGTAGTGCCTCCTTTTAAAATAAATTAATGGATAATGATCTTGATGAGAAATATGATGTATCTTTTAATACTGACAGTGCCAAAATGTCAATGTGTATATATACACATACATATATATATATATATATATATATATATATATATATGTATATATATATATATATATATATATGTATATATAGAATTCAGGAGATCTAGTTTAATGGAATTTCAACGAGAGTGCGAGGAAAACTTGCGACTCTCTTGGATTTATTCGTGGTCGCGACTTCGACCTGATTTATAGTAGCTGAGTATACGAGTTTTCATACGCAAGTGGGTATAAAGTAAATCGTAAATGTTTCCGGCAAAACTTCTCTAAAATGGCGTTACAGTACAGGCTTGAACGGAGAGGAAGAAAGAAGTTTAGTTTCGTTTACGCCTCGTGGCTTATTCCCACGTGCGGGGTTGTAGGTAAATTAGAAATAAAAAGGAAAATTAACAGTAATTAATTATATCATTCTAGATCAAGAATATTTATAAAAAAAAATTGTTATTAGCCAAAAAGCGTTATTAAGTCACAGTTTTCTTGAAAGTATCAAATCGAATTCATACCAAAAAATTTGAATCAATTTATACGATCCTCCGTTCGTTGCTATTTACTTTCAAGTTTTAAAGTTAAAATATTATTCTTGACTTAAAAAAAAGAAATAATTTTAATAACCCTATTAGTGGTGATATTATACATCTTTAAGTTTTCAGAACTATAAAATTATCGTTATAGAAATTAAATGATATTTCACTTTATTTCTTAAGGAATATCTTACAAATATCAATTCAGAGTAGATTCCAGGTATTGAAGTATAAAAATAAATGGAGGTCTTATAATACGAAAAATCTGTTCTGAATGGATACCCCTCATGACATAGGGAGAAGTTACACGGTAACGACGCGTATAGGAAGGTGATTTTGCTTTGGATATTGCGTATACTTCTAATGGCTCATTTGTATTGCTATGACAACTGTTTTTTCGAAAAATAAAATTGCGTTTTGTGCACTACTTCGAGCCATCAGAGATACTTATCCGAAGCCACCTTCCTATTAAGTATCATACGCCATTACTGTGTTATTTTCTATCACTGTGTTTTTATAATTCAACCAAAATTTCGACCATATAATTTTATTATAAGTTATTATTATTATAATTGAAATTCACTACAAATTGTTTCGTAGAACCCTTTTACATTTTAAATTCGAAAATTTAATTTCGCGTATGTAATAAATAATTATCCAAGTCCATGATTTTTTTTCTAATTTTTAACTTCCATGCTAGTATTAATGCTTTTCAGAGCATATTTTTAGTTCTTTTTTCTACTAAAAAAATACCGCATAGTTATTTTAACTAACATTGATTTAAACACAGGGAAAACTGGGTGTTTTTTTAACACCGAATTTGGTATAAAGCATCTTAAATATCAGTAAGATGCTTTAGAAAACATCTTATTTTAAGATGTAAGATACCATTTTTCCATCTTACATCTTATTTTAAGATATCAAAAAAGACACCTATTTTTGCAGTGATCAATTGTCGACTAAATCATTTTTCTAAAGTTGCAGTACTTTATAAAAAAGTGGTTTATATGTTATTAAACTAATTTGAAATCCTTATAATTCTGTCTAAATGGACTAGAAATTTTTAAATTGCTTCCATAAAATCTTTATAGAATACAGAAAAAAATACGTTTTCTACTTTCTAAATATAAATTAGTAAAAATTTACCTACAATACACTGATTGTGAGAAAAAAATACTATATTGAATCTATATAACACTTCATGTGCATACATTCGAAAGCAAGTGCAATTTACTTGATGCAATATTTAGTTAATTTTATAGCACTGCTTTTAAATCACGGAGGCAGTTTTCGTTTCAATAGCAATGCTATAAAAACAATTAAATATTACATCAAGTAACTTACATTTGCTATAACTAATTTACATTTGAACGTATTTAAATAGTGTTATACAGATTCAACAGCATATTTTTTAAAGATGTCAAAGGTCTTCCATCCTTGAAGATGAGTTTATGTATATATATAAACTTATACATATTACTAACCGCACACTTATTTTTCACTTATATCTTATTTTCTTTGGCGAAAGACTTTTGATATATTTTACATGGAAAAAAATATTTCAAAATTTAATAAACATTAAAACCTCGGTTATTCGATGTCTGTTACAAAATATTAATGGTGTCACTAGCAAACTGTGTCTGTGCCTTACAAGTCATCACCTAATTTTCTTCCTTTTAAAATTAAAAGATATTAAAAATATCATAGGACTATGGTGAAAATAATCTGTTTGAACAAATATGTAACGAGAGGCGATTTTTTAAAGCTCTTTAAATATATAAAAAAAATTCAAAAGCAGAAAAGTAAGTCACTAATTAAAATTAGTAAACGTTTTCTCACTGATTTAAATTCAGAAAGTTCTACATAATAAAATTTAATAAACATAAGAATAAAAAATGAATCAAATTAACTAAACTATTTTAAAAAGGTGCTAAAATTCTACTCCTTATAAGCATTTACGAGGCAGAATTTTAACACCCAGTTTATTCAATATTTCACTTATACTTGACCATTTAAACATTTTTTTTTGTTATCTGATTGAAGCACTTGTTAAACCCTATCGTATTAGGTAAATGAAAACTATTGTCTGAATATCATTAACACTATCATTTTTTACCCATGTATGCGGAGAAGTATTGTCCTACTGGATCTACTTCACATGCAAGTGGAGATTTTATATATATAGGTTGTTTTTCAATAACTACTTGAAAGCTGATGAAAAGTTTTGGATGTTGAATTCAACAGGCGGAAAAGTTTTAGGTGTTCAGTTCTCAACAACAGGTCTTTCGCAGTTCACACACTGTTTAGCAATTTTTTTTTATTAAATTAAAAATTAAAGTTGGAACTAACAGAATTTTTACATTTAAAAAATGCTTATTTGGAAAAGTTTTTTTTTTTGTAAATTTTTATTCTAATTTTAAAAAAATCTTTTGAAGAATAAAAATGTAAAATACTTTAAATTTGAATTAGTGATAGAACCACTCAGTTTTCTCGAAAGTATCAAATTGATAATAAAGTGGATCAAATTAATGGCAAAAATTCGGATCAATTTTTGATTTGATTTAAGTATCATTTCGTTTGCTGACAAATAGGGAAATATAACCGATTGTCAGTGAAAACAGTTCCTGTTTTTAGTTGTTTTTGGTATTGACATTTAATTTTCAATTAATTGTCACAGTTTTTCTAAGGATATCAAATTGAGACAAAAAACGAATCAAAATGTTGCTTCGCAACACTTTTGATTCGTTTTTTGTCTTAATTTAATATCCTTAGAAAAACTGTGGTATAGACGCTTCTAAAATTTTCTTTTATGCTTAATGTGACCCAGATAGAAGAAAATATTTTTAAATAAAAATTTTTTTTGTTATTTAATTGCATGGCAATAGTGCAATTGAGGGTTCGAATCAAAGAACCAATTTTAAGTTTTTTATGCTCAAAATCATTGAAAAAAAAACCCTGTAAAGTCAAAAATTAAACTGTTTTTAATCCCAATTTTTTGAGAAACATTTTGGTTTCAAGAAATGTTTTCAAGAAATTGAAATTTTAAATCCTTTTTTTATTTAGAGGTCAAGAATATTCTAAGTCTCAAAAACTTATAACCGGTTCTTTGATTGGGACTCTCAATTTTTATTATTCATAAAATGAAAACTTTCAGTAGGAAACAAACACTGAGGAAATAAGGTCTGGAACAGTTTGTACACTTTACAACCAAAATGATTCAAAAGTAGCCTATTTTGAAGCTTAAAACTAGAATAAGTTTTAATTTATGATACTTAAAATTAAACTCTCAAGGCTAAAATTCGGTCAAAAATGGTTGTAATATAGAAGATTTAAATCAAAAGTGAAAGTGTTTTTTTTTTATAATTCCCCATAGCATCTAAACTTGCAACAACTTTGACAAAATTGCTGAAAAGTTTCACAATATTACGGCAATGTTGACAATGTTATTGTAGGTTTAGATGCTGTGGGGGATTAAAAATACGAAATCGTAAAAAAGTGAATTGAATAAAAAAATGTAAGCTTTAACTTATAGTAGCTTGATCTTAATCTGAATCAGTAAAAATTAGGAATTTCCAATTAGGAATCAACTTCTCATTTTAATCAGTGGAATTTGAGTCATTTTCTCTGCAAATAAATGAAATTTCACTGATCCAGGTAGCCAGAGGTTTATTACTATTCGGTATGTAGTAAAAATTCCGCACTGATTTAGATTTAGAGAGTGACCCCAGGTCTTAAATTAAGCCGGCAGGTTGTAAATAAAGGAAAATGAAGATGAGGACATTCACTCGAATAACAAAGCAGAAAAAATAGTGTTAGTTTTATTGAAACAAAAAGGAATTTTTCTACAAATATTCAGCAAACTACTTTTTTTTGATAAGCTTATTTCTAAAGAAACTATTTTTTAAAAATTCAATATTGTCCTTACATTTCATACGTTGCGGAGCGTGCTGTTTCCTGCGGGGCATCTGAGTCCTGCGGGGGGGCTCGATTTTCCTTGAGGCCTCCAGGTCTTCTCTATTAACAATTTGCAGTTTTCTTCTTGAAAAATCTTCTACCTTTACTTATTAATAGAACATTGAATTTCTTCCGGTTATTATCACTTTAAGCACATATCTAGCGTCACAAATAATTGATATAACCTCCAAACTCTCATCATTCACGAGCACTTCTAAAAACTTGTCATTCGTTTCACAAATAAACAAATGGAAAATTTTTTTTCACTAATTTTTTTTTTTTTCACCAACTTGTTATTTAAATCCAGGAGAAATTTTTTTGCACGTAACACACATGCCAAAGCATGTCTTTTCTGTTCCTATCACAACATGCGCTCTCTCTTGTAATTAAAAGGCAAACAAAAAAATGGCGGTAAAATCGTTAACCTTATTCACTGTGTTTTTGAAGAACTTCCACATTAAAGACGAAAATCCAGTCGAATAGAAGAAAATTGTTTCTTTTGAAATGTTTTTTCGCAAAAGCAAATCAACTGGTGTGTCAACTACTCGTAGGGATTCTTGAAAAGAGAAAAAATCGGAAAACAACCTAAAATGTTAAAAAGTCGAATATTGATCACTTGGGAATTGGGAAATTGTCAGGAGGATGATTAGACGTTATGAGGTCGGAATGACAGCTCTCTCTCTCTCTCTCTCTTTCTCTCTCTGAGTGTATATAGTTCGGTGGTTGTCACTCACGGGCGGGAAGCTCACAGTTTGATTTATTATTATGAGAAAGTGAAGACTCGACGTAAAATTCGAAATCGAGCGGGCGGCGGTCCAGCGCTGACTGACTACGGTCTGGCGTCGCAGCGGAAACGAAAGTGGTGGGGGAATACAATTACTCCCTCTCTCTCCCACCCACCCACCCGCATTTGCACATCCTCGCGATCTCACTTGCTCCGTCTTCGATTTTCTCTCTCGTTTCGCGATTCTTGTACTCGCTCTATATATCCCTCTCTTTACCCCCGCGCGCTCTCTCTCACTCTCTCTCTCTTTCTCTCGTGAAAGAGTGTCTCTCGCGATGGAGAAGAACCACGTCCACTTGGCGAGAAAGGGAGCTTTGCGGTGAGACGCCAAAGGGGAGGAAAGCCCCACGAGTGAATGAGCGGGAAGAACACGACGACGACCGTCGGAAACCTATGCAGACCTTTTTAACTTTCTCAGCTACTATGGGAGAAGTGGAAATGTTTCAAAAGATAAAAGTGCATTCTTCTTCATTTTATACTCATTTTCGTCATTGTTTTTTGAAAAATTTTTCATTTTTTTCTTGGCTGAGCAACTCCTTAAAGAATTAACTCTCCGAAGATCTGAAGCTTAAGAATTGGAATGAATTTCCGATTTTTTCTATAGATTCGATAAAGGGGTAGTTTGATTTATATAATAAAAAGATAATTCACGATTTAGATTCCTTATCATACGACTTTAAAACCCCAAACTTCTTACCGAACATTCTCGTCTCTTTTTACGAATTCAGGGTTCATTTCTATGCTAACTTGGTCTTTATATACATATATACCTACGTATCGTTAAAGCATCATTTCGAATATATGATTGAATTACTTAAAAACTGCCGTTTGGCTATAACTACACTGAAAAGAAAATTTATTTGCCTCAAATTTGTCTGTTATCAAATAATTATTTATTTGATTCAAATATTTTTAAATATTTTATTATTTAAAATATTTTTATTTGAATAAAATAAATTGTATCTGGTACAATAATTTCAGTATTTGAGTAAGGTAAATACCATTTAATTTAACTTACCCAAATAGCAAGTAATATTACACTGCAAAAAGAAGTAAATCTTAAAAGTGCGACTACAAAGTTACTTAAAACTTATACAAGAAGTTTCTGATCTAAACATCTTAATATAAAATGTTTTAAGTAACTTTGTAGTCACTTTTAAGATATACTTAATTTCTACAGTGAAGTTATATTAAAATGACCGCCTGATGGTATAATATTACATGGTTATATGGTTCAGATTTTTGTCCTTCTTTTATTGTTGAAAACCAAACAAAGTGCTCCACGTTAATTTATGCGCGTTAACCATGACTTTATCGTAAATAAAACAATTAATCTTATTTAATTAATAATAATTAATTTAAATTAACAAAATTAATTAATATAATTTAATTTAATTAACAATTTTAATTAAAATTAAATTAATTAAATTAATTAAATTTTTAATTTTAATTAACATTGCACTGAAAAAAATTCAGTTGAAATCTTCAACTACAATTATGTAGTTGAGTGGAAACTTTAAATTACTTTTTTAGTTGTGCTAACAATTTTTGTGTAGTTAATTTTACTATATTTTTGATGTAGTTAAAAAATAATAGTCCAGTTAACTAGAAAAATTTAAATTACAAAAAACAACTGCTAAATCAGTACAACTTTTTAAATTCAGTTGAGGACTTTATTGAATTATTGACAGTAGTTGAAAAGTATAGTCAAATCTACTAGAAATTTTTTTGAGTGTGGAACTAAACATGTTTGTGAAATTTTTAACTTAGATGGGTCTAAGGTCGCTCAAATTGTTCTAAATAAAAATTCTAAATAAAAGTTGCGTATTTAAGTTACTTTTCGAACGGTATATTTTATTTACAATTTCGTTTACCTATTTACAATTTATGGGTCAAAAACAAAACCTGTCTCATACATATATAGACACACTCCCCTACTCATAAGCAGATAAGTACAATATAGTGCCGAAGTGGTCCCTTTTGACGTACACATAAAAATTACAATAAAATGCATATCTAATGATTATAAAGAAGAAATTATGGTAACTTCTCGGTAATATGACCATAAGGCGGACATTTAAATATTACTGTAATATTACTTGCTAGTAGGGTATAAATAAAAGTTATTCGAAATAAATGTGTCGCGCTCCGAAGAAAAGTAACTAAGAAGCAAAAAATTTAAGGTTAAGTTTTTAATTTTTTGAGTAAAAAAGAAGGAAAAGAATCCATTATTATTAAAAGAAAAACTTTATATTCAAGTCTTCATTAAATCCAAAATATATTCAACGAAAATTGGTTTCATATTCAAATAATTAAAAATAAACGTTTAATCAAGATATAAATCTAACACGAACATAACCTTCAATTCATTTGCTTTTTAGGTACCTTTCTTTGGAGCGCGTCACAAATATGTATTTGATAAGGTAATTATTTATTTTTGAATCAAATAAATTTTTAGCTTAGTCTCTAAATTTTAATTAGATCAAGTTATTAATAACATGATGAAGAGTCGAGCACCAAATGATTCAAAAATAATTATTATACTAGCATTCAGTGAATATGATATGAAAATGTGTAAAGCATTATCAAGATACTCTTAACATCTTCAATTAAGATATTTTAAATAACTAAAAAGTTGAATCAAATGACTGTCAATTAGTGAAATTCCACTGCTAAAAAATTAATCCCCCCACAGCAACCGGATATTCAGAATATCCTATATGGATTCTATATAGGGAAACACTGTAAAAAGATATGGTTTTGCAGTATACGCTGTAACTCACAACAGAATCATTTAAAACAAAAAAATCAAAATGCATTTGTTTTAAGAGACATTTCTTGAGGATTTTTATTTTTCAATTTTTTGTAGGACTTGGAAGCCAAACAGACAATTTTCTTCATAAAAAATCTACTAATTTGTTATTATAAAATTATTAATTTAAAATAAAGAAAAAGCTCACAGGCATAGGTATAGGGGAGACTGGAGTAAACCCACTCCCCAATGGGAAATTTACAACTGGCGGAGTACTGAGCCAGCACTGGCAGTACTGGCAGCTACGCTGACAGACAGCACTGGCATAACTCTGTCGTAAATTAATAATTATAAATAATTTAACAACAAAATGTTAAATAATATTAATAAATAGTTATTATTCATAAAATATTTCTCCTCTTAAAGAAATTGTATTAAAGATAGAGACTAACAATGGATATAGTAAACGAAGTAGAAAAAAATTGTTTATAACATTTAAAAATTAAATAATAAACAATTACAGTAAGTGTGCATTATATTTTCATATTTTAGTACCTAACGATTGGAATCTAGAAATATCGCAAACCTATGAAAATAAACAAAATTGCTCACGAGGGGAATCGAACCTACGACCTACGGACTAACAGACTAACGCTCTAACCACTATGCTAACGACACATGTGTACAGTAAAGTATTAATATCTCAGTATCATTCAGACATACAATTATTGAGTCAAAGATGAGAAAAAAATAGGGATACGTTATAAATAATAAATTAAACTAAATTTTTAATAATTAAATTAAATTACTTTACTTACTGCATTTAACATTTTACGTAATTCTTAAATTACGTGATAATTTTTTAATAATTTTTTATTCATAGTAAGAAGTATAATAGTATTTTAATAGGAACCAAATTATTATTGAGATTAAAGTTTAAATTTTGTTTACAATTTTAATTTGTTTAAATAATTTATTATTTACAAAATTAGACAATTATGTTAAATTGTTATTATTAAATTTAATAAAAATAAAAAATGAACAACTGAAAAGTAAAATATTAATTTTTTTCAATAAATTTATATTTATAAACATTTATAAACTTTTTTTATAATCTTTTTCAAGTTTATGTCAAAAAAGCAATGTTGGCAAAGAGCGTTGTGAATAATTTTTCTATACTCAGCCAGCACTTGCCGCCGTGGCTTGTCCAAGCTTTGGCGAAACAAGAATTCTGTACTGCGCCAGCACTAAGTGTCGAGGCTCGGCTAGACTACGCCGAACAATCGTCTGAGTACTAAGCCAGGGGTGAACATCGGCACTACACTGGCATTTCCCATTGGGTCACAGGGTAAACCCGCTCACTAGCGATTTGACGCTAATGAACTCAACTTAAGATGGAGATATTGGTACTGTGAATAGTACTTAACATTCAACTTTATATTAACGAACTTTCGTTTAGTTTCATGAATTCAACATAGAATCAGAGGCGATCAAATGTTTTTAGAGGTGTCAGAAAGAAAACGTTTTTTGGATTTTTAAGTTTTTCGATCATTATTTTTGAGTCTTAATTTATTTGTCAAATTTTTTTGTTGCTATTGGATGTCCTTCTTCGAAGTATATATATAGTTTTGTCTTATTTTAAAAAGATTTAATTAAATTTATTCTGAAATGTGAGAAATACACTCGGGGTAAAGCCGCTCACTTAGTTTTGAATTTAAAATTTAGAATAAAATAATTTCACGTATTATATTTTAACAATAACAAAATTTATGACTTGTTAAAACAAAAATTGTAACTAAATTTCACTTTCTCTTAATAAAATATAACATTATTTAAATCCATAGTTGTAATTCATGAAACCTATATTCATTATTTATTAAACCAGTTTGTTGTTTATAGAATTGTTTATAGAACTCATAGTTTATCAATAATAAATCATACTTAAGACAGGAATAAGAAAAATTTTAATATTTAAAAAATAAAACTGTTCCATCTGGAAAAGATAAAGTGAGCGGATTTACCCTGTAAAATTTGTGATTTCAAAATTTGGTATATGTGTATTAAAAAGTTTCTCTAAGTAAAAATAAAAAAGATAAATCAAAAACTCATTATTATTTTTTAGTAGAAATTATAAGCTTTCAAATGATATAAATTAACTTGGATTTAGAGAATAATTTCCTAGATTTTTACCTATCTGAAAGAAAGTGTGCGGGTTTACCCCAGTTTCCCCTATACCTAAGGAATTATGTGAAGAAACAGTACCAAATTTCAGAACGATTGATCCAGCCGATTTTGTGTTGTGACGTACACGGACTTCAAAA